TGCGGGGGCGTCCGGGGGCTCGCTAAGCACCCGGCCGTAGGGGAGGGAGCCGCAGCAGCCCTCGGGAGGGAAGGTGACAGCCCGGCAGCATGAAGTTCCAGTACAAGGAAGACCACCCGTTCGAGTACAGGAAAAAAGAGGGGGAGAAAATCAGGAAGAAATATCCCGACAGAGTCCCTGTGAGTGTGGGGGGTGAGGGCAGCGGCGGCGATTGCTGCTGGCCCGGCTTGCCTGGCAGAGCTCCTCGCTCTGCCGCCTTTGTTTTCCTTGTCGGCTGTCGTCTGCTTCTTTATTTTGATGTTCTGATTCTCATTCCGGGCTGTTTTTCTCTTCAGCGCAAAGCTATGGCTATTTATTACGTGGGAAGGTCTGTGTTCGTGGGTGGGTGTGGGGGCGCCGGGGTGTAATACACCCTTTTTTCTGGGATCCGCAGTAACTCGACAGCGGGAATGCTGCTAATCTTTTTCTGGCAGCCTGCGTGCGTGGGGTTGGGGGGTGGGGAAGGAGCTTACCATTAGCTCTGTAAAAATGGAGGAGAACAATGAGTGAGTTAGCCGGGTACTCTTCATAGGAAACAAGGTCTGTATCCGTGTCATCTGATACTTTCCCTTTATTTTTATTTTACTTTCTTTTGGCCTGTCTTTTCGATGTAGTCCTGCTCTGTTCTTTTCCTTTGCATGAGAGAAAAAGGATACTTCTCAGTCTTTTCTGCCCTCCTGTTTAATCATCCTGTGGAAAAAACGTCACTCGGAAAACAAGGTCATCCCCTGGCTAAACTTTGCTTCCTCATTCTTAGGTCCCTTTGGAGTGCCTGTGGAAAACTTCTAGCTTTATAATTACTAATAATAATTGGAAAAAAGAAATGACAAAACAAATTAATTGTGATTTTTTTGGGGGGGTTCCTTTTTAATAAACTTTCTGCAAATGTTCTTTCTTTCCATCCCCACTGGAGAGGTCTGTCCTAGATTTACTGCCCAGGGGTACTGCATGCAAAATAACTTAAGACTCCCCTGTAAATCTAAGGACATGGCGGAACAGTTACACCACGTTTTCCCTGCAGGCTAACACCATTTTGTATCTTGGGGGTGGCCCTCAACCGGACTTGCAGAAGTTTTTGGAAGTCAGCGTTTGGGTGCATTTGTCCTAGCTGTTTTTGGGACCCCTGGCATAGCACAGCAGGTTGAGCATGCAGCGAGTCAATGGTGAAGTGTGTGTGGTTCTGTGGTTTATGATGAAGACCGCAGAGGGCTCTGTAGGTCAGGAGCGAGACAAGCTGTAAACTGAGGATTAACTTGGCAGATTGTACAGCAGGTCATGATAGATGTGTCTGGAAGAGCCGTGTGGGGAGCCCAGGACCAGACCCGGTCTGGCAAGAGGTAAAAGAGGTCAAAATAGGGGGGCATCAGCAGATCTTCAAGGAGAAAGCCAGGACCAGACTAACAAGGTGTGCTGTAGTTAAGGATAAATTAAAACAACACATGGTGAGGCCCAGATGTGAATTGTCGGGGGTAGCCTGTTGTCAGAGCTGCATACGGAGCAAATGAATGCAGCAGACAACTGTTCTTTACATCACTTCTGTCTCTGCCCTTCCCGACAGCAGGATCCTTGAAGATGACGTCCATTTGGCTGCCTACACTGCAGTGCCCTGATACATCTCAGCATTTTGCTGAGATTATACTGTTGGCATGCTCCCACGTTACCACAGTCACCACCCAGCAACAACAGACATACAGATAATCTGTATCTGCCCTTTGGATTTTCTTTGTAGGTTTGTTTGTGTCTCTGAAGGGTTTAGTGCTTCAGAAGAGATACCTGTGTTATCAGGCAAACTGACTACAGTTGATAGTCAGATAGCAGAGCACCTCCATTCCTTTCCTGCCTCTTTGCAAGAGGGAGATCTCTCTTAAGCCCAGTGATGATCTGATTTAAATTTTTCCTAGGCCTTAGAAGCCCCAACACTCTCACCTCTTCCTCATTTTTTTCCTGTATTATCTAATGACCAAGCTACAAGCCACCCTTTTGAGTCAGGGTGGTCACATCAGTGCTGCTAGCTAGCAGTTCTGCTTGTCAGTAGTTTTTGAAATCGGAGGCAAGAACTAAAGGTTTCTCTCCACTGCAATTTATTGTGTTAGATATTGCCTTGTTGGGTGTGCGGTTAAAAAAAGTGCAAAGTGCTGTTGCTGTTCAGCCTGCACCTGTTCAGTGGGATTGTGGAACTGTCCTTCCTTCACAGCACTTGCCAACCGCATCTTGTATGGAAATGCATTTCCTACCACTAACTGCCTGAAAGAGCTTGAATGCCTTGCACTAATTGAGGTGCTCGAAGTTCTTGAAGTAGCAGAGACAGCCACGTTTCTATTTTAAAAACAAACTTAGAATTTTCAGGGGGTTTGGCTGTGTTGGCAGCATCCAAGTGGAGCACAGTGAAGAGATGTCCAAGCTAGCATTTCTGCAGTGTGACATGCTTTGCAGATACTGACTTGGTTCTAGAAGGAGTCACGTTGAATTAGCATGGCACTTTGTCCAGACTAAACACACCAAGCTCATCATGGTAACTTTTTTTCCTCTGGCACAGTGTCTGACTGATGTGACAACACCATTTTGTTTCCAAAGAAGGCTTAGTTCACAGCAGTTCAGCCTTTTCTGTTACACAGCAGATACAGTTGCTGATTTGGGTTGCCACAGAGCTAAGGAAGCATGGAGCCCTTAGAAATTGGTTCCACAGTGTCTCACATGGAGTATTTATAATTATAGGGTCTAAAGGAATTAAAAAGTTGAGGAGGTTCAGAAAATCCAGCTTCTTGTTTAGATCGTCAAAATGGCTTCTGCAGAACAGCAGATTGAATCATGTAATATATCTCTTACCGAATCATGTAATATATCTCTTACCAGTTCAAAAATACGTATCACAAAAAAAAACCCCGAAAACTGCCTTCAATTTTTTTTCTGCACAAACCCAGTAGTTTCATGGAAACATACCTCCAACCCCTGGATGGGTTTCCAAGGTTTTTCATGGGAGGAGATCAGGTAACTTTGGAATACTTCCTGCTTCTGAGGTGAACATTTTGCCTAGCTCTGGTAACAAAAATTTTCCTCTAGCAGAAGATCTGTTTGTCTGTTAGACCTTGAAGCTGCTGAGCTTCATATTTTTCTATGTCATAATGACATTAGAATATAAAGAGGATTAGTATTTTGTGTCAAAAGTCTCTGTGGGTCCAGTTGCCCAGATGGTAGCCTGTTTTTTAATTATTAGATATTGATATGAATAAGGAAATGTCCATAACTATATGAATTAGGGAAAATACCCTTAAAGGGTGTGAATTTCAGAGTGGAAGATAACTGCTGAAGAACTGGGGATTAAAAAAAGAAAACCATTCCCCAATGAGCTGTAGTTTCTCTTTAATACTTTGCTTCATTCTAGAGCACTTGGTATTGGTGAATGTAGAAATTAGGATGTGGGACTACTGGGAGTAGGGCTGATTTTGTGCTAGGCAGTTTGGAACTGTAACCTGGAAACAGTTCACCTTACTTGTGATACTTCTTGTATTCATGTATTAGCCTTCTGGCAGCTCCTCCATACAAAATTAAACTGCATTGGGCCCATCAAGGTGACCTGATTTTTTTTTTCTCAGCTATTATGGTTTATTTTTATGTCTGTTCCAGTCTCCATTTTTTACTCACTGTGCTTACTGCTGCAGTCTTGGGCTCCCGGCACAGCTATTGCCAGCGATTTTAAGTCTTCTTCTCACCTATCTGTTCTTTAATATTATGTATTTGTTATAGATTAAATAAATTTCTAAAGGCCTGGTAGCACCACCTCTCTCAAAGGGTAATATCCTTTTCCACAGATACTTTTTGGTCCGTTTCATTTTATGCTACTCATGGCTTGTTTCTTGCTTTCTCTTACTCTCTCTCTCCAGGTAATTGTGGAAAAAGCACCAAAAGCCAGAGTACCCGACCTAGACAAAAGGAAGTATCTTGTGCCTTCTGACCTCACAGGTAACAAAGTCTACCTCCTTTCTTCCTGATTTTCAGTGGGAAGGTCTCAGAAGTGCTTTTTACTCTGATCAGCACCAAGAAAATATCCAGGCAGGCTCAACACCTTATCATTACCCCAGTTTACCTGGCTGTCCTTGTTATATTTATGTACCTTACGGCCTGGATTACAACATGCAGAATTCTCTGAGATCTTCTGAGGTATCCCCCTGACTTAGCTAACACACATGTGTCACAGCTGACTTCTAGCCATGATGAAAATGACTGAATTGTGTATCATAGGCAGTAGCATCATCATCAGTCAATGATGACCTAGCTGCAGAGTTGCCAGAGGCTGTATCCTTGTTGCAGGAAGAGACAAGTTCTTGAAATAGTCCCATCATTTTCCACCCCTGTGGTTGGAGTCATGGCTACAAAGTTCCTTTTCCAAATGGTCATGGCCATTTTGTGTGCGATTACATTTGTTTTCATTTGAGAAGGAGAATGAGTTAAAGGAACAGCATTTCTTTTTCTTGCAGTATATAATGGATTGTGGAATTCTTTCTTGTGCAACGTAGCTCAAGCAAATAGTAAGGAATTTGTTTTCAAGAATTTTTTTCCAGGAATGTTATGACTATTTACACCAAGGCTCAATTCTCTAAGGTGGCTTTGATCTATAGGATTTAAAGGTTAAGCTAGTTAGAGGTCTTCCCACCAATCCCCACAGTAGAGCATTTCATACCATAGTAGGTGGAGTGTGGATTTAGAGGGTACATGGCCTGAGGCATGTACCTGAGAAACTGCCAGCTCTGAGTGGATTGGCTGCTAATGTGGTTACAATCACAAAGTTACTGCTTTCTTTCCTGCATTGTTCATTTTTCCCTACTTTTTACATACAGCATGTGACGTCCACCACCAAAAGAAAACAACCATGGTTAGGGTAAAACAGAAAAAAAAAAAACAAACCAAAACGTTCTTTCTGCATCTAAGGCATTCTCCTCTGTTCCTCTTCAGTTGGCCAATTCTACTTCTTAATCCGAAAGCGGATCCACCTGAGGCCAGAAGATGCCCTGTTCTTCTTTGTCAATAACACCATCCCTCCCACCAGTGCTACCATGGGCCAGCTGTATGAGGTAAGCCTGGCCCATCTCTTTCTCCTTTTCTTGGAGTGTCCAGAAGAATGCACGTCCTCACTGAAGGACAACTGAGCACTACTCAACTGGCAGTGGGTGCAGCTTGGTCACAGATGCCTGAACACAGACCCCCTTGGCCTGGGCTGTATCCCATCATCTGTTGAGGGAAGTTCCATCCTGCCCGGGATGAGGAGCCCGGGGAGCCTCATCATTTTAATTGTTTGTTTGCTAGTTGAAAGGGTTGTCGTATCAGGTGGTGAATAGTTGCCCCAGCAGTGATATGTTGGTCTACTACTTTCACAAAGTATGGAAATAAATTACATATTTTTCAGAGGAAATACTGTGTCTGGGGCAGAGGGTGGAACATACGCACTAGCTTTCCTGTTTATACAAAAGAGGTTTCCTTTTAGCCAGTAAAAGAACACAGTATCACCGGGCAACCGTCTATAAATACATTGTCAACGAACACTTATTCTTTGTTCAGAATTACTTTTTCATCGCTTGTACTGTATATGTGAGGATCTTGTAGGACACTGTGAACATTGCTGCCCAGTATTTCTACTGAGCAGTGTTATTTGATCGACCTTAAAGGCATATTCTGTGCCTATCAGAGGAATGTTCCTCAATTATATAGCCATTATATCATGGCTGGTTTGCAGCCTGGATTGATTTCTCCTTGATTTCTCCTTCTGCTGTGTTAGTGTGTTTTAATAGGAGAGCTCCAGTATGGTGCTATGAGCCTTATTTGACCTATCACTTTTTGACAATAACTGGACAATGTGTATGTAGACTGATGAAGATAATATAAGATTAACACACGCAGGGAGTTTTCCAAATCTGGACATGTAGGAGGAAGGTATGTCTAACTGTCCAGAGCTGAGATCAGGACTCTGATCCTGGCGCTCTGCAGACTTTTTGTGTCAGTGGAATCACTTAACATCTCAGCTTTACTGCCCATATGTAAAACAGAACTAGAAATACAGCCACTTGTCAAAGTGTTCTGAAAAATGACAAGTATAACCACATTTACCAAATACTGAAATACCAAGAGGTGATTTTTGACTTGTGAAAGCCTTCCAAGTCTCTCCTCTTGATCTTAAGGCCATACCAGCGCTGGGATTCTGCTGCACAGCCTGCAACAGTCAGAGCTGTTTCTGTTGCGTGTTTGCAGCACAGTCTGGTTGTGGCTCTTCAGGTAAATTCACTGTGTCCAGAAATGTGACATGCCTGAATTTAGAAGTAGAGCTGTGGCCAGAGAGAGGAAGTTGCTATATGCTCTCTTTGGTATAAGGAAGTGAAGCCTTCGATGTAAAAGGGGAGAAACAGTGAAAGAGAGGTTATGCCCTCTTATTGTTACAACGGTCTCTTGGTTGGACTTTTTCACATGTAATGAGTTACAGTGCTCTGGTTTGTTGCTTTCTCCCTTTCTCCCCTTGCAGGATAACCACGAAGAGGACTATTTTCTCTATGTGGCCTACAGCGATGAGAGCGTCTATGGCAAGTGAGCACCAGCCCCCCAGGCATGCAGGCGAGATGGACTGATGGAATGGATTTGGGGGGGGGGAAATGTTGGAGAAGAGGAAGGAGAATGCCTGAGAAGAGGGGAAGAGAACTGGAAGTGAACCACATGCACAACGCCATCACCTTCCATGCATTAATTATAACCATTATTTTTTAAGTTGAGGGGAGGGAGAGTAGGGGTATAGTGTATGAAAGGGTGAACTGAAAGGCTAAAGAGGGATTCTGTGCTGAGGGATGTGGAGACTCCACTGTTCATAGTTCTTCTCTTGCTACAGCTGGAAGTAGTTAGCCAGTACTGGAGGCTGCTAGACAACTCCAGCCATTGTGGTGGAGTTCCAGGAGAGTGACCGGGCATGGTGGCCATTTTTGTGTAACCCTTTCATTGGATGAAGAAGGCATGCCATGTATTGTACACTGACCTTGTCACACCTTGCCCATGGCATGGGCTGCACTCCTGTGAGCATTCAGTGAGCTGTGAAATACTTCACTCTGCCCACACAAAGCTGTCCTGTGCTGACAGTCCTCACTCCAGCTGCTACCTGTGAAGCGTTCAAAGAGTATTGTGTTTCCCGTCACTTCCATCAGTATTAGAAGGGCTAACTCTGAGGGCTGGGAACTCTTCAGCTGTGAGACGTGAAGGTTGGGGAAAAGAAGGAAGGATTTTATTTTTTTCCTTTGTTGCTTTAATTGCAAGCGCTGGGCAGAAAAATTTGAGACGACCCTTTTGTTCTTTTCAGTGAAGCCAACTGATAAACTCATAAGCATAGGGCTAGAAAGGACCTCAAGAGAATGTCTAGCCCACTCCAGCTCTGAGACAGGACTGAGTATACCAAACATGTCCACCATGGCTGCTTATCTAACTTGTTCATAGTGAACTTCACTGAGGCAGATCCTGGAGGCTGCTGAGATTGTCTGTTCAGTTCCTAGCTAGCCTACAAGTGAGAGAGCTTTTCTTGCTACCTAACTTTAGTCTCCCTTGCTGTGCATTAAGGCAACTAACTACTAATGGTCTTGTTACTGGTGAACACAGAAAATTACCTATCATCAGTGTTGTTCTTGTACCAATCTTCTGCAGAACTGAGGATGGCAGAAGTCCTGTGGGTTTAGCCTTCCCTTCCATGTCTCATCGCTGTACAGCTCTTGCACCACATGCACAAGCGGAAGAAATCAGTCGCTCCCACGTGTGTTTTGCTGGCTTGTTGTGATTGGAAAACAGTGCCACTCTTCACCACAAGAGAGGTCCTTTTAGACTCGAAGGGGAAGGGGAATAGATTCTCTGTAGATTATTTTTTTTAAATTATTTTATTTTAAGCCAGTGTTGTTCTTAGAAAGGTGCCAGATAGACGCTGTCCTGTGCAAGCCTTATGCTGTCATGCCAAAGCAGTTTCTTCCCTGTGGCACAAACAGCAGATTGTCCCATAACTGCCATAACTCTGATGAAGGGATAGGGTTTGGGGAGTGAGCTTTCAGGAAAATTCTGGGTTTTTATCTAAAAATCAGAGAACTGGACCTGAATTACTGTAAACATTCCTACATTTAAGGGAGGGACCAAGAGGGAGGAAAAGACAAGAAGGATGAAGAAGACAGGCAGATTCCAAAACAAGTTGAGGGTGTTTGTTCTATTTACATGAAGTTAGATCCCAGTTCTCTGCATTCCTTAGGAATGAGAAGTCAAGATGAGTGCTCCTCTGATTGTGGGAGACAGGAAATCAGGTTTCAGCCTTCTCTGACAGTTGTTCCACAGAGGTACACGAGGCAGAAGAGCAGGCTGGGAGCGTGAAGTGGGAGTCACTGGCAGAACTGTGCAAAGGTCAGGGAAGGCAGCGTAGTGGGGCAGGAGGGTCACTGCCTGTGTGGTATGGGAAGTAGCAGAAGAATGGGAGAGAAAGAAGGGAGCGCAAAGGATGTAGACAGAGGAGTCCTAATGGGCAGACAGAAAATGGGGAAACAAAGGATGAAATGAGTGGGTTAGTATTCCCCAGTTTTTCATCCTGAACTTCAGCTTGCTGTTCCATCATGTGCTCATCTGGAATAAATGCATTTGGATGAGTTGTACCTACTGCCAACTTAGATAACTTCAGTTTCTACCCGCAGTGCTCAGTCGTCTCTTTTTGGCCCACTCTCCTCCAATTATCAGGTTCTTTTCAATCCTTTAGGTGCAAATCCACATCAGTCTCTTGTTTTTGGAAGCTCTGAATGTTCTGAAGCAGAGAACAGACCCAGGAGACTTTCTAGGGTAAAAGACAAGATGCAGGCAGATGGTATGCATCTCTCTGCCACTGTCCCACTTGCTCACAGCACGTGGTTGTGTGTTGTCTCTAATGAGCCTGTGCTTAGGCACACTCAGGGGAGAAAGAGTTGGCATCTGGGGTGCTTGGTTTTGTGTTCAGACCTCCCCTCCCCTCCCGCTGCTGGGTTTATAAGTGATATGTGTGGGACTAATCTCAGCCGTTTGTTACATGTAGGGTTTACAGTTTAATTTAGTTATTTTACGGTTCTTTTAACTGGATTGTGACATTTACTTCTGTTTTTGCGCTAGTCCGGTATTGTACGAGGTAATGATGGTAATTCTTTTTTGTGTTGGTTAGCTGCAGGTTCTTGTAAAATAAAGTTCATACTACTTCAGCTAAATCAACCAATCAATAAAGATGCATTTGAAAATCACAGGCTTGGTCCAAAATGGGTGACTGTAGCATTTCTCCCCACATGTGTGCGTGTAAATAAAGGCGCAGCTTTGTCAGAACTTCTTGCTGCTACTTTTTCCCAGAACCTCAGATTTCCTCTGTCCTGTCTACCAGGACAAGTCACATCTCTCCTTTTTTTGGTTATATTGTCACACACACACACGGCTGTGTCTTGCCGTGCCACCAATGTGAACTTTAACTAGACCTGGATGACATGAGAAGGTCTTAAGGAGCATAATGGATGCACTGAGGCATTCTCTGCCATTTTAAGGCCCTGAACAGTCCTAGCCAGCTGACGGGGTCCTGAGGGCACCACCAGCCCTGACTGTCCCTGCCCAGCCCCCCAGAACCACCCCCACCCTGCCCATGGCCCAGGACCCCATCGCAGCCCCCCAGGGCCCTCAGCCCCTGCCCCAGCGATGCCGCAGCAGGGGTGGTCTCCAGCTCCCACAGCCATGGCCTGCCGGGCGATGAGCCACGCCGAGCCAGCCCCACAGGGCCCAGCTTCAGCCCATCCCTGTCCCCACAGCCCTGCCATCACTGGGCCTGATCCTGACCCTAACCTGCAGATGGGATTCCCATCTTGACCCACCTCATCACCATGATGAGCCTTATGGTCAGGGCTTGTGGCTGGGCCTGGCCACCGTCCCCTGGCATGCCCTGCTCCCCACATCGGGTGCTGTAGGATGGGTCTCATGGTGCCCTGCCAGCCATGCCCCTCAGGGAGCCGCTAGCCCTCACTGTCTCGTGACAGCTCGGGCTGAGGTGGGACTCCCAGCCGTGGGCAGAGTGTGTGGGGGAGGCCCCGGGGAGGCCCCTAGGTGCCTCAGGGCCCTCTAAAGATAGTAAAAGCAGAGAGAAAGAAATCTAGGACTCATTGAAAAGTAAGCCTGCAGTGGCGGCAGATCTAGGCTGCTTTTCCTTGCAGATATTTGTGTGCTGAGAGGGAAGAAGCCCTGCTGGGAGCTGGTGAGACCAGCGGGTGCCATTTGCTCAGCGCCATAACTCCGTGTCAGGCACCGGTGACACATGAGGAGGAAAGGGATGCATGATGTCATGTGGAGAAGTGGCGAGAGACATGCCGCTTGTTCCACCTCCTCAATCCTCCTCGTCACCTGCAGGTTTGTGCGGGTGCCACTGGCCGGAGCGGCAGAAACAGGCCGTGCCGATGCTGCGGAGGAGCCACCATCAGCTCTTGCCCTGCTGCGCACTGAGCAAGAGAGTTGCTTGGAGTGCTGAAGTCAAGAGTTATCGACACTGAAACTTACAGGAATAAAACTTGCTAGGCCTAATGGATCTTCTCTTCACCGCTGCATAAAGGATGGAGCCACAGTGTGAGCTTTTGTTGTTAGTGCTGAGGGAGAGGCAGTAATTCATCCTGCAGCCTGTAAACTCGGAGCCTGCCCATAGCAGTGGTTTCTGTGCTCATATCCACCGTCGTGACTAAAACAAGCTCCCCCTGTACGGCAGAAGGGTGCTGTGACTCCAGCCAGATGGGCAGAGATCAGCTAAAAGCTTACACTATCAACTGAAATAATTTGAATTTCAGCTTCAAACATAGTGCACGTTTTGCTGTCTAGGTTGTGATATTGTCTGCTGGCTCAAGTAGAAAATGGCTATGGAGTTGTATCCATATCCAAGCAGGCCTCTCCCACTCCCCCTCTCACCCCTTTCCTAGGAAAATGGTGCATCAGTGGTGTTTGTACCCGCCATGCTGCTTTGCATGTGCATGTCAGTACCATCACTGAGAGAAACAGCAGGCGGGCACATTTGCTGAATGTGATTTGCCTGGTCCATATGTGAAATGTTAGCCTGTGCTCAAAGACTGTCACCTTTATTCTTTGGGTTATGGAAATGGGACTGGAGCAAGGCCTGCAGGAAAACTAGGGGATCAGCTGGTTAAGAGAGGTTAAGTAATTAATACTCTGCCTTGGTCACTATCACTGCACCTGGGATCCTCTCTCCAGTCATCCTGATGCTTGCTTTGGAAGAAAACATTCTCCTGGAGCAGAGAGTACCTAAGGAAAAAGGTGGCCTGGGGCATTAGGGCCTCACAACATCACCGTGAAAGAATTCTGAGGCTAACATAACAGGTCCCAAATTATGCTAAAGACTGATGTTTTCACTTCTGTAGAACAGTCATGTCCAAGATGAAAGAAACACTGATTAAAACAGAAATAAGACTACTGGAGGGAGAAACTCTAGCTCATTCCTGTCACTCAATCTCAGATAAATGCTCCCCCAGGATGAGCCACAGAGTGTGACTAGAGAGCTCATTGCTGGCAGGGCACTTGCAGGACTGACTCAGGCAGAGTACAGCTGACCATGAACAGCAGCTGCCCCAGCTTGTGCTGCCAATCTTTAGGAGGATGTTGCAAGTCCCATGGTATTTGCGTTCCTGGAAGCTTGCATGCGTCCCAAAGCACAGCTCATGCCGGGGTATACATGTGTTTCAGGAATTAGTTAATATTCTCCTGAAAAAGCTGGATCTTGCAGCACCTTTCTGTAAAGTAAGGGTCTGATTCTCCCTGATTTTGCACTCTGGCCAATGTCATCTGGATATCGTATTGTTCTTTGGGAATTCAAAATTGTTAATAAATGCTATAAATAGTGATAGGTGGAAGCAGCAGGAGAACATAAAGATCCTCATTTTCAAGTGAGGGCATCGCTAGAACTGCATTAAGGTTGAATGTACTGGATTATTAGCTGAAGGAAAAACTGATCTGATTCTACGTCCTGCACCTTATACTGGAAATACCACACCATGCTTACCCCAGACACACTTGTACACACACGTGCACCTTTTCCGCCACACCTCACACCACATTAAACACACTTAGAATATAGTTAAACTCCCCACATAGGTAACACGTATGAAAACCACTGCGGAAAGGAAAGAAAAAGGAAGACGCACGCACACACCGAAGATGACACTTTACAGGCCTGAAGTACAGCCACTCCATCAAATATAGTGTATCCAGGCAATGAAGAAAGAAATACAGCAAAATATATGCCTGTGCACACTGGTTTTCACCCAGCCCTTAGGATGATGGACAAACATACATTGTGCACTAACATGTATTCAGTGCAACTGGAGCCAAAAACCACGTGGCAAAAATGGCCACTGAGAAGTGGAAATCAACAAGGAAACACAGGATGGAAAAAAATGCAAAGGGTAATAATACACAGTCATGGGCTTCAGGTGATTACAAAAAAGTTTGCAAGGGTAAAACTAGGAGTGAAAAAGGAACCTGGAGCACTCAGAAAAGGTACCGCAGCCTACACCCACTAAACTGCCTCTTATCTATGGAGTGCAAAGGATGCCAAGAAAGCATCAGGTTATAGGAAACCTTGGAGGAAAGGAGTCCACTACCTACAGCCACATTTCAGGGGTGAAGAAACAGCAGTCCCTCTTTCTTCTATCCTTTGCAATTGAAGGTGAAAATTAGAAGCTGGAAAAGTGGGACCCTTCTGACTAGGACTGGATTGGATTGGGAGAATAGGGGGGACGTAAAACTGGAGTATCAGCAGTTTGTGGAGTGCAGATGAAGGTAGTAGACTGGCAGAGGAAGGTGTGGGAGGAGAGCAAGAACAGACTAGTGAAAGGGCTGCAGGATATGAGTGAACCTGGCAGAATTGCATGGGAAGCCCAGCACTGGAATAACACAATGGCTCCAAGGCAGGAGTGAAATACAGACAGCTTAAACTAATGCCAAAGGTATTGCAGAAAAAGCTCCTCCTAGATCAGGTGTGTGGTGGCTCCAACAGGTACCTGTGCATTCAGATTGCTGTCACTACCAGTAGAACTGCAGCTGCATGTAGGGCTCATTCGCAGAGCTGAGTATCTGGTGAGGCCGTGGTTATTTACCTACCTATCTCTCTATCTAGTCCTTTTGTGCATGGTCATTACAGTAGCCATCTGAGCTCCCTGTGGCCATTGTGCTACCTTAGTGTTATCAATTAACTTCTTCGACAGTCGGGGACAGGGGTATGGGACGGATTAAATGCCCTTGCCTGACATCACACAGGAAATTTGCGGCAGGGCGAGGGAGTGAACAGTTAGCATGGGGATGGTCCTTTTTCTTAAGAGCTATTCTGAGCCCAAGAGCAAAATAAGCATATAGTTAAAGGAGTGGTATCACTATCCAGATATGAAGGGCAATAGAGTTAAATATTTAGGAGAGAACAACTAGAAGACAATGGGCAAAACAAGCCTTCTAGAATGAGAGCCAAGAAAGGCAGGAGTCAAGCTGCAATGCACTATGTAAGAATGCACGTAAAAAAGATGGAGAAGATGCCAATACAGATTACAATCTGAAATAAGTATTTTTCCATTTTACCGTGCTTGTTCAGATGTAACATTGGGATATTTCAGGTCTCACTCACAGTTCATTTGTTCCAAGGGGAATACAACAGAAAATGAGCAGTGACAGGTCTGATCATATTTCATTAGTTTGCATTTTATTACTTCACACTTATATAACAAGTTCTATATGACAGACTCAGTCCTTTCAAAAATACTGATCTATTCAGCCTCACAGCGGCCCAGTGGGATAGCTCTTACTGTCTCCAGCCTGCTGCTGGGGAAATTGAGGTGCAAAGATGTGGGCTGGCTTGCCTCAAAGCCACACAACAAATCAGAAGCAGAGTTAGAAAAAAAGCCTTGTCCCCCTGATCTCTAGCACCTCTAATAACAGGATTATACTCATTAAACACTAAAATTTGAAACATGGATTCTGTATATTTGTATTATCTTTCATTAATGAAAGAAACCCCTCATCATCTTTGGGAACACAGCATCGTAACATTTAGATCTTCTGCCATTTGTGGACTGGAAAAGCTCTGATTTCTTTCCCAGAACTGGCAACAAGAAGGTAGCTCCTACTCTTGACATACTGCCAAGAAAACACTGCTGAATTGTCTGAGCAACAGCTCTCTTCAAAGCTCATTGATACATTTATCAGTGCCTTCTTTCTCTGGAACAAAAAACAAATCACAGTGCAAGCCTGGAAAAAAATGTGCATTTTCTTCTTGTCATTTGCATTTTGTTGGATTT